GTCACCGCAGCAGAGGGTATAGATTAAATTGGTACTCCGGGATTCTCCTTTCCGGTGAAATCTCTTTATTTTCAGTCTATTATTCCTAGACCCTGGACGAAATTCGGACGCCATGGATAAATCGTTCTGACTGAAATTACGTCGAGGAGAATTAATGAGATATGACGCGCAGAATTGAAAGATGGTATTATTTTGTCGAGGAGGGAAATAAAATTGTACCTATGTATGTTAGTATAATAATAAATTGGCTATAAATATTGATCTTTCAAGAACGAAATATGGTTCTTAATATCTTCCTTCTTGGATGATATTTTCTGTAATATAAATTAATCAAAGGTGACAGGAGGTTGGAAATCAAAGTGATCGAGAAATTTAATGAAACGATTGTTTTATGCTAAAAGCATCGAAAGTACTATTTGACCAAGCCAATAGTATAATAACTGTGAGTAAATGGATAAACTTATAACAATATTTATTTAACAGTTTAATAATAGAACACAAATTATAATTGAATTAGTTAAAATAGACTCGCTTCTTTCTGCGATATAATCTATATAAGACTCTTTTACACACGTCTTTTTCTGATGACTGTCCTTCAAGTATTAACTGTTTTTCACGATTCTTAGTCATACTCGTCACACACATACATTCTTCCACACAAACATTCTTCACACTTATACCAAACATACTATGACAACCACCACCACAATAACAGTATATAAATTGGCTTGAAAAATTATTCGCTGTGTTGTAATGTAGTTTGGAGGAGCAATTTTGAGAATTAGTATGGCAGATGATTCGTTTAAATCAATAAAGCGTGTCGTGTTCAATACGTATTCTACGAGTGTCAATTACGATATGTAGATCTGTCTTTGTTTGGAAGTCAAATGCATTCCACTTTAATTAGTACCATTTCATTTTCCACTGCTAGCTGGAATGATATTCGATACTCTTTTCCTCGGTATAGCGATTGCCTTTTAAAAATGTTAATGCGTGTGAGTATAATGGAATGAAAAACCTTGACGTAATTTTTCATAATTTTAAACAAATTGATATATGATTAATGTACGTTATTTAATCCATTTCAAATATGATGCCTCGTGTTCGCATCTTTCAACGCGAAAATGGTTTAATTTATTTTTTAATATCCTTTTACGCAATCCCTAGTTTTGTCACGGGTCCTGTATAATTTCGCTTAAAAAGTAATTCGATTATATTAAATTTATTACGCGATATTAATCCCAACAAGAGAGAATTTATAAAAAAGAAGAGCTCGAAGCGAATATTAATAGCTCGTATTGGTTTATCAAAATTAAATTACCGATACCGATGTTTGAAAATTACTCGACACTCCGCCCGAGCCAGAATTTCTATTACAGAAACGGAGATCGAAAAGAATATTAATAGCCTCGCAAATTAAAAATGGCGCGAATTCGTATTAAAAATTGGTCGTACGTTACTTTCAAGGGGGTTACTTTCGATGGGGGTAGAATCACAAGATTGTCCATTTATATCGGGAACGACGAAATCGTCTTCAGGTGCAGAGTGTTCACTCTACCATCCAGTGATAACACCGAATGCACGTAAAAGCGGAAGTTCTATTAAAAAATTAGATTTCACAAGGCCACGAAAAGACTAATCTTCGACCGGCGAGTTAAGAGCAAGTTAAAGTTACAGGGCCCGATAAAACGTTTCATTAAACCGTCCACGTGGTCCGATTATTCTCACGCGATATAAAGTTTCAGTCGTAATTCTCGCAGAACCGCGCGGCTCGATAATTTCAACGCGCGACGCCACACGAGTGCCTTTTCCGCTTTCACGGCGTTTTAACGTGCAGCATCGGAAGATTCATCGGGATGAAACGTGTCGATCACGTGTCTGGCCCCATTGAATCCGCGGCGTTGTCCAAAAATTGCGGCGGAATTCGATGTATTAAGTTAAATTAACGTCACACGCGAGTGCTTTATAGCCAACACAGAGCTATCGCGCATACATCGCGCACATATCGCGCACGGAAAGGCTGCAGAGTGTTGGCACGCTGTTCAATCGAGTGTGGAATATCGCGTGATCGATGGTTCCCGCCCGATCACGTCCGCGGATTATCTATTTTTGTTTTAGAACGTCCGCGGCGAGATATCGAACCTGCTCATAGAAATTATTCGCATGGAACATCGGATTCATGGGATCAGCAGCGAGACCCTGGAATCGTTATGTCTGCCGTTTGCTACTGTCCAATGGGACTTTCGGATTCGTTATCGTGGACCATTCGAAAGGACAAGATTTTGCGTCCCTTGGTAGGTCCGCGAGCTCGTGAGGATACTTGCTTAAGTAAGCCGAAATTGGTTCGTCGGTGAGGTCAAACAGGCGTACCTAGAGTACTAATTACCTAAGGGATTGGGACAAACTTAGCGGGACTCTCGATGTACAATTGGACCAGGGCGAACAATAGGGAAGTTCCGCAAGCCCATTGCGTTTATATTCGCGATCGGGATCTTTCCTTAATCCTCATTGCCCTAGGAGGTTGCCGGAATCGGTCTAAGTCCAACCTAGGCTGCTGAGCGAAATGCTCGTTGAACTCGCGATCGGATTTACAATTATATCGACTTGGTCGGCCGAACGTAATACGAACGGCGAATTTTCTGACACCTTTTAATTCGCCGACGAAATTACCCTGCCAAACTTTCGCGAGCATTTTCTATTAAAGGGCAATTTCGCGACTGCTACGGTTCCGCTTGTTCGCCAGATTATTAATGACGGAAGTCACGACTATGAGTGCGCGTATTAAAGGGGCGCTAAGACGGAAGAAGGTCGGAGGCTGTAAAGCCGGAATTAATTAATGGCAATCAGTAAGGGTACTTAACCGTACATTCACAAGCTCCGCGTACTTGGCCGCCTTGGTCTTCTTTAACCGATAATTCGCGCTTTCTCGTCGCTCGATCCAGACGAACGTGTCTTTTGGCAGGGTTTAGGTAACTCGGCCATTGTGAGCAACGTTATTGTTCTCGTCTGACGAGAAACGGATTTTCAAGCTGATATAAACCCCGGTAAAAAACGCAGCAGGATGGAATAACCGCGTTAAGAGTGCACGTCCTTTTCATGTAGCGTGACTTTGTGCTTTTGGCTAACAGCTTCAAGTGGCATAGATTCGCAGACCAAGCAGAGCGAAGGCAGAGGCAACTCGCGGCTTCTTGAAAGAGCTCTCGTAGAACGAGAAAAGCCTGAAGACGTGACGTCACCCTCTGTGCAGACGCAGTTGGGGATTTCGTAGTGGTTGGTCAAGGAGAGGGTGGATGACGTCACGTGCACCATGATCATGCTTAAGAGTGACGCTGCAGCCTCGACACTTTGCTTCTTTGCAACGTGTGTGTACGTGTATGTGTTTGCTGGATATGTAAATTGTAATAATTGATACAGTTTGTCGTGATAAATGGAAAATTAATTTGTCAGATTAAGATATAATCTTTGGAAATTTTTTGTATCGGGTTGTAATCCTTTTTGATATTGAATCAGTCATTGAAATTTTTACTATTATAAATTTTACTGAGCATAAAAGAGTCGCGAATATTTTATAGGTTATTTATGAACAATAATTCAATGTTGCATAGCCGAGTTCTCTGCACGTGAATAGTGATGGAATTTTGATAAAAACACAAAAAATGAAACATCTATAGAATCGTAATACTGTTGAACCGAGGTTCACATTGGACATACAGTTGCAATCTCAGTTGAATCGAATGCTTTCGTTTTGTTCTAATTGTACGTATTCTGGAGCGACAATTTTTACTGCAACGTTACTTGTAAAATTATTAAAAATATTTTAACATTTTTCACGTGTTGTTTGATAAATTTAGAAATGTAATGTTCTGTGAAAAATTTTGGAAGAAATATGTAATTTTGAGAAAAAGTTCATAATGCGATTATAAAAATGGCCTAAATCGTATATGTTTCCTTTAGAAGAAATTTAGAGTTTTTAATATATTATAAATTTAAAAAATTGGTTACGGTAAAGTTACAAACTCAAATTTATCATTGCAATGTAAATGAATGGAACGGAAATTAAATAATGAAATCATTTCGTCCGGATATTCGACTTACTGCACTTTCATAATTACCAGCACAATTTAACCCTTTGAGATTATATTATAAATAAATATTTGAGTGGTTGAAATATTTGGGAAAATAACAGCTCGGTGAAATTTCTCATTATTCAATGATATTTTCATTATTATATAATACTCTACATATTTCTCTTCATTTATATTTTATCAATAGCAATTAAATTATCTTAACCCTGCAACGTTCGTTATGATACTACTTTTAAAAAAACTAGTTTAATTACTGTCACTGTAATCGAAATGAAAAAAGTTTACATGAAAAGGACCATTAACGCCTTGCCAATAAAAGAATCGCGACATACGCTTTTAATTTGCTCGGGTCTATTATTTAAATCAATTTTATCCACATTATTCACGTTTACAGTAAACACATATCTTTAATGAAACTCTAGTAATATTTTCTTACCGCAGTGATCGCGTTTTTGTAAAACCGTTCAATTGTATACTGGCCATCTCGACCTCATTTCGTAGAAACATATTTTTCAATAGCTTAGCATCCAATCGTTCTTTCGAATAAATCACTTTGTCCCGCGTCCCGACCTTCCCCTCATTCGTTTCAATCAATCTAATCGAAACACGTTATTTATCAAACGTCGAATCCATATTATTTCCAATATTTATACCCAAAATATGACTTGAAATAAATCGTGGCCAGAACTACTTGCAAAAGAGAGAATCGAATGACCATTCCTACTCACGAGACACATCGCGATGCGGGTGTGTTTAATGTGTGTCGCGGACAACTACGGTAACGCGCGGCGAAAGGGAGGGGGAAAGTCGGCCGCGGCGGAGGGGAGACGACAGTACGGTATACCGAAGACTCGTTTCGGCGGTGTGGTGGGGGCTACGGGGGTCCAGGCATGGAGAGGGCGCAGTTCCGCGCCATCCTCCGTATCGTTGACACGTCCTACGAAAAGAGTGTGGAGTCAGTCGGTACGTTTGCTTCTCTCGTGACTCGTCTTGTGCGTTGATTCTCAACCGAGAGTTCTCCCGTGCTACCGAACGAATTCGTCGTTCGGTTTCCTCGAGTTCTCCAACGCAGTCGCCGCTGCTCGTGCTTGACGGTAAGCGACGTTTTCCTCCTTTCAAACGTCGCGCGTGCATCGGACAGTGCGCGTGCCGTGCGACCGTTAGGTCGCTGACTTTCAAAACAGTTTCAATTGCGATTTCGGCCTACCGACGTCGCTGTGCGTGCAGTAGAGCGCGCGCATCGACCGTGATCCTTCGCGATCGTTCGTTTCTCTCTGTGTCGTATCATCGAAAACTGCAGTCTCGAATAGTGGATTGGTGAATTTCGTGCGAGCGTGACAGTCTTTCTTCGGAACAGTGAACAACTTAACGGGGAACTATGTCGTCGACCATCAACTGTCTCTTCACCGCGATTTTCCTGATCGCCGTTGCGACTGGAATCAACGCCACCCAAACCATGGACGCTAAGATTCGCGACGACTCCGATTTATCTCAGGTAAGAATATTTCATATATTTCTTCGCCTCTATTGCGTATATTACGTGACGATTTCGAACGTTACAATGTCCTTGTCGCGCGACGAATATATTCCAACGGACTTCGTGTCCTTCAACTTCCAAATACAGCGAGCCTTTTCGCGCGTTATCAAATATGCGTGTATCGGAGGCGGACATTTTTGTTGATAGCTTTGCACGTACGCCGGCTCGTGACCTTCCACAGTGTCAAATTCCGATCTACTGTAATACGATATCGAACAGTATATGCGGTTAACGTGAGAATTCGAGAGAGTGAATGTGACAAAATGAAATATGGTGTCCGTTTCTGACGTATTCTAACGGTCAGTAGGAGGTTACTTTTAATCTACCGGGTTAATCTTATTAGAGGTGGCTCCAATTGAATCTTTAATAGTATCGTATTTTCTTCGGCGAAGCAATTTCGATAAAATGGTATACCATTGCTCCGAATGGTGAAATGCTCCGATTTTTAAATTTGAATTCGAAAAGAATTTCCGTGGTAAAAAATATTTCGTTTCAGATATATTTTTGAAATTTATTTATTTATTTAATATCGTGTAAAATTCGTTTGTGTTGTGTATCTTTCGCGTACAGAAAAATGGTCGAAATCACATTCTGGTACCATGACACGATTCTAGCTCGCTATCGAAATCGTATCACGTACTATTTACGTGGATTTTTGTGTTAAGTGCTACTACCGCGTCGCAAAACGTTCGGAATTAATTTCTTTTTATGTCACCGTCAAATTACCAATAGAAACTCTAACAGGTTTTTTGTCGACACGAGTGAATCACTTAATTTTAGGGTCCTCTCTGTGCTAACCTTTATGGCGAGGTTTACGCACCGTCTCACATCATTCTGTTAATTAATGACGCAATAAAAGAGGCTGGCCAACATAAAATCGAGAGCTACTCGACTCTCTTCCTCGCCTTACACCATCAAATGGGCGTCTTTACTTCTTCCTGTAGTTTTCGCACGCTCTGGATTACACAAGGAGCTCGTAATTGATCGATAAGACAAGAAACATTTGCTATTGTAAAAATCAGAGTTGAATAATTGCATAATTTTTTCTTTCAAGATAATAAAAAATTACTTCAAGGGAATTATTAATTTTGTAATAGAGCAAGTTTTTACGTGAGATTTTATTAAGTCAGCCCTTGAATATTTTTTAGGTATTAAATAAAATTAGAAAATTGCACAAATTTTTATGATAAATCTTTTTCCGTATTTTTTTTACTTTTTTATGTTCTACTTTATCACCGTCGGTAAAAGTAATAAAGATATAAATTTATCGATTGGACAATAACGTTAAGTAACTATTACCAACAAATCAAATTTTTCAAATTATATGAAAACTTGGATAAATTTTTGCGCATTCAGTTGAAATATAACAATTATACGGTGTAATTGCTCCGTAATTGTTATCAGAAGTGAAATTTCCAAATAGAAAAATATTTAATCTTCTATTATATAAAATTATTATTAAATTAGAAACTTTATTAAACTGTTATCAAAATATCTGATAAAATCACCGTTGTCTAAATTTATATCGTGTGTTGTATTTACAATTTCCTCCAAAACAATCCTCGTATTTCTGATCAAATTTCCCCAAATATTTTTCCAAAAATACATATTAATGATTTCTCTTTTATCCGGTGAATACGATCGCAACGATTATTCCCACATATATTATTTCGCGAATTGCTCAAAATTATCCCACCGCGACTCGCAATCAGTCAATTTTTCACGCGGTCTCGCTTAAAATGGCGAATTCTATACCCGATGGCCCCGAATCTTTAGCAGGTCGCGTTTCACGTTCAGTTAAATGAACTGATCTACATTAAATCCCCCGGAGATTCCTTTGGCGGCTTTGAATTCACCTCGCTGAATATTACAATAATGCGTATCCAGCTTCGAAGGCAGGCCGAACGGTTCCCACCCACCAACTTGTTGCTGCGACAAAAATCGTCAGGACGTTTTCGCTTGGGGCTAGTTTTCACTTCGATCGATTCAACAAACTACTTGCTAGCATGGTCCTCGAACTCGATTTCCACAGCTTTTATTTCATTCCACGCTCGGCACCGAACTTCCGCGATTCTTTTATCGCTCGAGAAATATGATTCAACGCGTTTTAACCTTTTCGTGGTCGCAGAACTCGGCCTTTTAATTTTGTCCCTTGATTCCGACATTCGTGTGAGCGGATCTGGAGAGATTCTTTGCACCGATTTGGAGCTTTAAAGTGAGATTTGTGGCGTGAAATTCGCGTAAAATGGAACAGGTGTTTCGGTATTTGGTTTTTTCTTTTTCTTTTGGTAAAGATTTGCGAAAAATTATGAGTTAAAGGGGTCCTGGTGTTTTGGAGCGGGCACATAAATGAAACGAAAGTTAGATTGCAGTTGTTAGGTAATATTGGTCCTGGATGAGATCGTATATAGAAAGTTATTTGATAACCTGTTACGAAATTCGTGTGAAATACGATAAGTGTATCGTATTCGATCCTTCAGTAAAAATGAGAAAAAGAATTATGCATCCAAATTATGTTTGTTATATAAGCAGAATGAAAGTTAGATTATAATTTTTGGTTTAAATTGTAATTTTGCAAAAGTTCGAGGACAAAAGCCATTCGATTGTTGGGAAATAATACGTTATGAAAATAGACGAGAATGGATCGATTTCATTGTTTTCTGTCTTTGCGAGGTATAATAAACTCTCGGTCTAATGTTATTCGATATGCTTCAAGCAATATAAGCAAGTATGCAAGGCCTGCTTACTTATGAAGGAACGTTGTAGTTGAAGTTTGTAGCCAATGAAGAAACTTTTCAGAGAAAATTGATCAATTTTGAATTATTTATGGAGACAGCGAAATTTGCAAAAAGAATTTCAATAAAAATAATAAGGTCACCTTGTTATCCCGTGTAATTAATTTTAATAATGATATATTTATGTAAAAGATTATTAAAGACTGTTTTGTTAGATTTTATTTTCCATAATTGATACTCCTGGACTCGTTTATATTCATAACAAGTATTTTTGATAAATGTTACCGTGCATATTTCCTGTAGAATTTTAATCACGTTATTTCGTTTATGATTTTGGAATACAATATATGCTCGTTTGTTAGTTCAAGTATAACTCGCCCACGGGAATATTTAATGTGTTATTATAATCAAACACACCGCAACATACATGTAAATTCATAGTTATTTACACAACTATCACCGTTACATATTTATATATAATAATACAGATATTATAATCCAAGTATTTTTCCCATTAGATCGGGTCAATTAACCAAGACGCACAGCAAATTAACACACTCGACTTATTTCGCAAATAAAGATTAAAAACCCTCAGGAAACACACGAATCTTCATTAACCCCGGGCTCGTAAATAACCATTCACATAATGGCAAAACAAAATAGTCATAAACCAGCAAAGTATTCTCACATGCAACAAATTAACCCCACATTGCGGTAAAAATCTCGCGCCATTGCTATTCGAATATACACGAAATTCCCCGACAGCAGCGCCGCCACGCTCAGTGCGCGGCCGCGTTACGAACTACAAATGCACGGTATATCGCGGCCAATCAGATTACGTCGATATAATGCGCACGGGTTTCGACGCGGCCGGCTGGCAATATCATCGCCGTCGTCTAATTCGTTCCGTTTCGCTCGTTCGTTGGGAATCTATCGTGTGCAAGCGAGTTCCTCGCGTTGTTCCATCTCCAACGTTCTTTCGTGGAAAGTCGTCGCGCTACGCGGCCAACCGCGTAACCGAAACGGTCACTGCCAATGTCAAAGCCATTCCCCGTTCCTACCCACTCTCCCGCTCTTTCGTCGCGGCTCAGCTTCTGCCGGCAAGTGGCCTTGCCTTTCACTTTTTTCGTACAATGCCTACGTTAAGTCCCGCTAAGTTCCATTCACGTTGAATGGCATGCCAGGTAGCGCGGACAGGTAGACTGGTCGTCGTTACACCGGTGTCTGCGCCACGCGTTCGCCGCGATAACGAGCCTGTTGACCTTCGAAGAATCTGTTTGATATTAACCCCATTACGCGCTGATGCTTCCCTCGTTTTTCCGGTCGGCAGGCGGCCGGAACCCTCTTCTTGTCGAGGTGCTGGCGAACGTTGAATTGTATAGGTATAGCAGAGGGAAGGGTAGAGTAAATATTATATTTTCAAATCGGGGGAAAAGGACTCCCGGGAAGTAATTATCGCGGGTGTGGGGATTGCGAAGGGAATTTAAATATGGGTATTTGGTGTCGAGGTATTTCGGTCAATACTGAACCTACCACAACCGGCTAGATGACCGATAAATGAAGGAATAAAACATGCTGCATAAAACAACTGTAAAGGGGAAAATTTTTGAAAAATTAAGAAATTAATTCTATGCATATTATGGAAAAAATCACGAAAACGAGTAAGTAAGGCGATAACCTGAAATACGAAATTTTTAATCAAAATTTTGAAAATGATCATTTAGGTCGTGGTAGGTTTAGGGTTAATTCGATTTCTACCGCTGTTATTTATTAATAATATTGTAAGGCGAGTATGTTTGAGGTGAAAAGGCGATTTATAGTGATTTTTCTTAGTAGTTATGGTGGCTATGAACGGTGAGGATATTAAAATTCGAAAATAATAGATTTGATATTTTATATTTCACTGACGACGCTATGACGATGTTATTAACATGCAATTTATTAGTTGCTTTTGTTCTCGCCAGTGAATAGGTCTACTTTGTAAAGAAACTCACGGATATTTCGAATCAAAATTTTTAATTTCAAGATATTTTCGCTGCAAAATCCTGACTGCTGTCGCTGATCGACCGGATTAAAATATTCTGAGAGTAGAAAGGCTTAATTTGAATTTGAGAAAAATCAAGAATGACCTCGTTTGATTGTAGTATTCAAATCACACTGCCGCTAGATGATAGTCAGGCTTTCAAATTTAGATAGTATTTCGAGATCTCAACAATTTGTTCA